CACTCCTTTAAGCCACAGCACCATGAAGAGCCTCTGACAGAAAGGGCAGTTCCCCACGTTTTCACCGTCATGTCCAGCCTGAAAAATACAAGAAATAAATATCCCATGAGCCCAAAATGTTCTGTTTAAGTGACTTCACTTTTTCTCTATGATCTCATCTGCAGATTAATAAAGTTATTTTGGAGCTGAGAAGGTGCGTCTGGGATACACACAGTCGATTTCCTATGTGGAGGAGGGGAAACCCTGGCATTGTGTTGTGGCGGAAAAACAACCAACACCAACGCAGAGAAGGTTAAAGGTCCACCACATATTGACCATATGTTAAATAACAGTGTGAAATGTCTGGAAATGATTTGCTTAAATGAGAAAATTGATGACACTCTCAAGTCTGTGTGGTAAACCTGAAGAAAGCTAGTTGGCGTAGCTTAGCTTATAAGCACTGCTAGCTAGATGTGTATTCGCCTGTGAACATTTAGGGAGCTCCTATCAGTCGAGATTCTCTAGATATCACTGACAATCTCAAATAGAGCACACACTCATTGCTACAGATTCTGTCAGCCTGAGGTTTAAATTGACTTCTCTTTTAAAAGAGAAAGAGAAAAAGGAGAGCGCTAAGAGAAAGTGAGAGAAATCAGATGACTTCTTGGTAAGTTTTGAAATACTGTAACTTGATTCCAGCTGTCGGTTGTGTTCGTCCTACTCATATTGGCTGTTTGGAGTGAATATTTGGGGGTTTTCAAAACCACTGCAGCAACTGGACTGACAGGAGTGATATGCACAGAGTTTTAAAGATGGATGTAGCCTTTGGGTCTGAACAAAGTTCTTTTTAAAGGCCACCAGGGAGCAATATATGTGGTTACAATAGCCTTCTCTGGGGACCTGTGTAAACACTCCTGATGAGCTTATGGGCTTTCAGGCTGTACTGGATAAAATATTAAATTCATTCTAAGTGTCAGAAAGGAAGATTAAACTCACTGATCAGTGAGCGTGTGCCACGTTCAGTCTCAAAGCGCCAAGATGCCGACTGCAAAGGAGTTCATCTCGTATCTTTAAAACAGGACTTCACAATCCAACATGTGACACCACGCTGCTTCCATCTTTATCCTGGCTATGGTAACACGTGGTGAAACTTCACTTCCAGAAAGATCAGCAGTCAGCTCTTTTTGTTTCCATTTGTTTGAATTTGTGCAAAAATTGTAAAAAATATCACTTGTAGCTTTAAGCAGGTTTATATTCTGGGCTCTTATCAAGTCTCATCAATGACAACATGCCATTTTAGACTTTGTTTACATTCTTCATTATATTAAGTAATGAGATATAACTCATAAGTGCTCTTTAGAGGTATTTTTCTGCTACTTTTTGGACAGTTATTACAGTCTTTATGCTAAGCTGACTGGATTATCTGCTGGCTCCAGCTCCACATGAGAGTGTTACTTAACTTTTCATCCAACATCTGGCAAGAAGCTGCACGTTTAAGTGGCTGAAATATGGCACGTCTACCACTCTATACTGCCTTATTTTGTTTTTGCTATTGAGCTGCCTTATTGTATATTTCAGAATACACAGTTTCTCTGCACTTGTGCCTCAACTAACTAAATCAGGAAAAAAAATCAGAAGAAAAAAAAGAAGTGAGAAAAAAGAAAACGAGAAACTTTTATTTGACTTTTAGATAGATGACTGTATTTGAATGTGTGCGTAACTAAGGTGGGTGTGTCTGTCCAGGCTTGAGGCCAGTCTCCATATGCTTCTTGCTCCTTCTGGGTGTGCTCTGATAAGTTGGAGAGTGTTTCTGATAAGAAACCAGCTATGGCCCACACCGAGGATACAAACACCCCAACATCTGCAGCGTATGGTATCTGGGGACAGCACCAATCAAAAATAGAGCTGTCCTCTGATTGTTGCTGCCTCTATGGCAATAATTGTGGACCACTGTTGTTAGACAACACTCATAAATGAGCAGCAAGCCTTTGTCAGAGTGCCCCTTTTCTTCAGAAGATTGTTTTGACAGGTTTAAAATGGACATAAAATGACTGACCTTGATGAACAGCTCGATGCTTGGCTCCTTATCAGAGCTCTGTCGAAGTGCCATTTTATCCCCCAAAAGTTTTTGTTTTGTTTTATTTAAAAAGTCCAAGTGCTCCTATTAAAATTTCCCCCGAAGTCAGCGGTTGCAAAAAAATCCACAAAGCTGAAGAGAGGAAGCTGAGTGTGGTGCTGTCGTAGAGGCGCTCTCCTCTGGTTTCACGTGCTTTCTGTGGTCCTGGGGAAGTCTCACACCTCAGGGCTGCCTGTGTTTGTCTGAGGGCTCCTTGGAGGCTATCGCTCTGAACATATTTTACAAGTTAGGGGGAGAGGGCGGATCCGAGTAATGGGCGGGGTACATGCCCCACACTTATATACCCAGAGCCTAGCTCTATGAGGAGAGAACTTAAAATAGCTCTTCTGCACATTGCAATACACAGGAAATGATAACACAGGGTGACTCACACAAATTAGCGCAATTCATGAGAGCTCCTCATTCCAACAGCATTTAAGATAAAAGAATTCGTTTAATGGAAGACATCCACTGTGTTTTAAAGGGCAGTAGTGAGACAGAAAGTATGAAATGTTTGCTTTAGTCATTAACAACATGTAAATATGCTTGAAACCAGTTTTTATACAACATATAGATGGCTGACTGAACCAGAAGCAGACAGATAGTAGTAAATAATAGAGCAATTTACCTTTGTGTGGATATTTATGTGGTACTTTACTGTATTCTACTCCACTGTGTGCCATAATGAAAATATTTTACATTCTACTTTTCACAAATATATGATTTTATTTTAAACAAGAACCAACAAAACCAAATAACAATCCACATTTAAATAAAGGAAAAGTCAAATTTAGAAAAACACAACAAATGATAAAATAATACAAGTGACTTTTTGTTGGAGCTACATCCCCTCAAAAATGGCTTTCAGTATATGTGCTGTTCCTCTATCAATATTTGTCTTCTTCAGTGCTCAACATTTACTCTGCACATTTTTTCAAAAACAATAGTATTAGCAAACAAAACAAAAGCTGGAGTTCATTAATGTTTAATCATTTGTATTATATCTGTATCCTTCTGATTAGGAACCAAGCAGGTACAGCTTTTTTATCACATCAAGGTGCTTAACACTGTAACTTAAATGGACTTTTAGCTGTCATTTCTCAGTGACCCCTATGTGACCCCTTTGGAAACTTAATTGCCCTCCCTGCTGTAAGGTAAAGACCTGCGATATTAGAAGGAAAAGACGAATGTTGAGAAGATCCCTTTGATCAAGCATTTGGCGACAGCGGAGGAAGAGCTCCCTTTTAACAGAAATAGTGCCAGGATCAGGGAGGAGCAGGAACCTGCAATGACCTGGTAAAGAGTGAGTCGAAGGAGAAGAAAAAGGAAAGGAAAGGGGAGAGGATAGAGAAACTGGGACAAAATACAAACTATGGGAGAGAGTGGACTAATGTTATTGGCATGCAGCAGTAGCATATGAACACACTGTGAGAGATAAGATAGAGTTAATATGGTTTATTAAGTCACTGAACAGTATTAGGTAGTGGCCTGTAGGGATGAATATGATCTGTGAAACACTGACTGGACAGTCCTAATGTTTTGTTCTCCTTTCGGGTGTTTCAGGTCAGCTTTTTTATCTTTATAATGTCGTTCCTATCAGTCTCAGCTGAACGTACTGTGCTAATCTAAGCTATTAATAAGATTGTGAATACTGTAAAGCGAACAGCTGCTGAAAAGCTTGTTAGTACTATCACTATGAACGTGAATGTTAGCGTTACCGTGAACTCTGGACTCAACAACACTCGATTTACTGTTTTCACTGTGCCTGTTTTCTTTACAGGGCACAAAAACCAGTAATAGAATAAAAATTCAACCCCAAAAAAGCAAATTAGGAGAACAGAGAAAGTCAGTTTAGTCATTACCTTTACTTCCACCTGTTCACTTTGTTTTTCTAATAATATTTTAGCAAAAGTTTGACTAATGTGGCCTTACATTGTCATTTCTATACCTTCACAAGTTCAGACTGAGAGGAAAACAGTTTTGTTACAGATGCTCGCATAAAATATAAACATGGAAAGTAAAGTAGACTCTATATTAAAAAATAAGTACGAATAAGTCACTCAAATTGCAATGTTAAATTAGAATTAAATATTAAAGTTAAAGCAATATTATGTACAGTACAGACAAGATATTGCAGACTAAGTGAAAATAGTTGTAGGTAAGGAGCAGTTATAAAGTTTGATGGCCACAGATAGGAATGATCTCCTGTGGCTTTGAGGTTGCGTCATAGTTGAATTTCTACAACCAATGACTGTAGTGCGTTTTTAGCTAAACGTATAAGGTCTGAATGGGCTTTGCCCTCTTCTTTAAAAAATGATGTGATACTTTGGGGGTATTCTGTGGATGTTCTGAGTAATGAGCTGTGGTTGTGGGAATCCCCCTCAATAATAAAATAAGGGCCAACTTACACTGCTCGAATAGTGGTGTTTGGAAATAAAGAATATTAAAATACTTTAAGATTTTGAATTTTGGCGCTAAAAGAATATCAAATATCATGAAATTTTTCAGCTGAATACTGTATATGCTTGCCATATTTTAAGTAGGAGGTCTCTTGGTCAATTAAAGACTGAAAGTGATAGTTTGTGCTTAAGAAGTGGAGACAGGAGTGGAGGGGCAGTCCGGTGTTTATTGTAATATGGCATCATTTACAGTAATTAGGGGAAAGGGAAGTTTTATGACAAAATCCCCATGCTGCGGTGTAGAGTTCCTTACAGAAACGAACAACACTGGCGAGATTGTGAAATGTACCACAAGGAATTGAAAAAGAAGGCTTTGTGCCCCATTCTCATTTATCTGCTTGAGAGGATTTGAGGAATTTGCATCACAGAGAGCGAGCATGGAAACAAACCCATCACAATGAAACTACCAACAAATCCCGGAAATCTGGCAAATAACACCCCATCGCCACAGGAAATATAACTCAAAAGGAGAGAGATCATGGAGAAAAAGTCCTCCTCCTTTTTCTTTTTAAATGTCTTCGGAGTCATGGAGGTTACTTTCCAAGTGTTTGGAAATCCGATGTCCATTTCTGCTCACTCATAACACATCCTCTAAAAAAGAATGACCACCTCTGGGAGGTGAGTGGAATTTTACTGCAGCACGGTGGGAGTGCCTCTCTCATTTACTCACATGATTAAACTGCTTTTCAGTGGTCAGTCTTTATTATAGCATTTGCTGTGACAGAGGGTGTGTCCATTGAAACCTGTGTGACAAAGCGCTGGTGTTTTATTAAGAAATTCAATAGATTCGCTCTCACGGGCGACTGCAGTTATCGATAACGTCTTGAGGTCAGCATGGGCTGATCTCATGGGTATTTTGTGTTGTGTTTGGTTGCCATGACGACACCGTGTTGAGAAAGAGGGGATGAGTAAAAGGGAAATTAAGGTTAGAATCACAGCCATTATAGTAAACTGAAACCAACTGATTCAGCCCTGCCAGCCGGGGTATTCAACAGGAGAGTTTTCCAAAGTATCCCGGGAGCGTGCATAGCTTACTAATGATCTTCCACTTCCCAGGAAAGCCCTATCTCCTGGAGATAAATACACATATCTCCACTGGACACACACACAGCAAATGGAAATGGGGGGGGGGGAAAAGTGCCTTATCTCTATGAACAGAGCTCTCAATGTGGACACCGAATCCAAGAAAGTTGAACTGGATTTTGCCATTACAAACACACACACACACACACGCAGCCACACAAAAGGTCAAACTGTTATCCTGTAAACTCTGCTGCTCTGTGGTGGATTCCAGACTCCCTCTTTTACACAAGAGGAACGTTTTGATCTGTGAACTTCAGACATTCATAGGCCTAAATTTCAATAACATTTTAAGTGGGTGACACGATGAAACTAATTCCCGGACAACAACTTCTTGGCAAGATGGGTGGGATACCAACATGCTTATATACAGATCTTTTCGAAAAATGGCCGGCAAGCTTATGTTGCACACAGAAAAAATATCAGGAAACTGTTGCAACATGTACTGTCCCTCCCCTCAAAATCCCAAATGGCAGTTAGTCAGTTTTATAGTTGTTTCCACATTTTGTTTATGGTTCAGAGACAAGCTGTTTTTTTAAAGATAGAAAACCATCATACCAAAAGCACGAGAAGAAGAAAATATCTCCTTATTCAAGTTTAGGAATAAGCATGAAGTTTTTAACGTAAACACATAAAACGAAGCAGCATATTTTAATCCCAGTTACATGTTGCCAGAGATAGTCAAAAATAGTAAAATTACAAGTTGTGCTCAGTTTGAAGTTGAAATATAAAGATTTCTTGTTGAAAATTTTGCTTTTACATAAACTGATCAGCTAAGGCTGAATCAAAACAACGCTGAAGTTCAACAATTAGCACTATATAATACATAAAGACACAGTCAAATGGTGTGCTGTTACCCAGTGGTTTGCAGACTTCCCTTTTTGAGGCCTGGAGTTAATTTCTCATCCTCCAGACTTCATGATTGAGAGGTGGATCTGAAACAGGGGACATGAGGACAACTTCTCAATAACAGTTGTAACAAGGCATATCCTACTTTATGCTTGATTTGGACATGTTTACAAAATTTACCGAAAGAACATGTTTCACATATAACGTTAAAAAGTATTGATTAAAGTACATTTGGAAATTGTTTACTGAGGTCATAAAGCAAGTGTAAATTCGGGTCACGTTGTTACAGATCTCTATATAATTGGATATCTTTGATTAACCAGAGGAGCCAGCCTCTGTTGGATTTAGAAAAAAACAAATACATGTCCATGTGACTTTCTATGGTGTCTGCTTGCCATGTTGCTGCAGATGGCTTCCTTTATGGACAGGTCATTTGGCTACTTTAACCTTTTATACCTTGTCTGTCAGTCCCATTCGCATGAACTTAATATCTCAGGAAAGCAAAATCTGGCACAAACAGCCACTTGATCTCAGGGATGAACTAAGTCAAAGTCAAACAAAGTCAAACGTCAGCAGGACCACACAAATACATATTTTTAGCCCTAACTCAAGAATTCATGCGTAAATGATGACAAAATGTTTTGCACAAATATGTGGTAGGATAACAGGATAAAGTGATGAAATTTCATATGCAGCAGGTCAAAGGTCAAGTCTGGTTAGACATGGATGTAAACTTGACTGATGAGCGATAGAACCACATAAATGCTTGGCAGTAATTCTAGTTTATTGCTCAGCAGGGCCAGCTGTTTCTTGTAAACACAATGCCATCATTGACCTACTGACTGCTCTCTCACAGGCAGTCAATCGCACAAACAGCCTATTACCACACAAACCCTGTTGCAGGGTCTATTGCAGGATATTCACAATGACAGCGTCTTGGAGTTTCTGCCGCTCTTTTTGTCTCCTGCCTCTCCTCCTGGCTCTGAAGATGCACACAGCACGTTCGGCTCCTGATTTCTCTCGTAAGTCTCTTGGTTTTGAAATCAATAGCAGACTCAAAATGCTGATGCGTTGCTTTTCAGCTGCATAAAGAAGCTTCACAATAACATTTCCTAACAGATTTCCACATCCTGCTTCATAAGCAGCTTGTCATAATCTCGCGGAGAGACCAGAATCAGGGTGAAGAGGCTGCAGAACAGATCCTGAACTTGGATATCCACTCAATACAACCAGATACTCCCATAGCAATAAATAAACTACAGCTGACCTGTGTTTATCATCTGAGCTGTTTTCCTATTTGGACTGTGTCACTACTGACATTATGGAAACATTGGTACTGTATGTTCAGACACAGCCAAAGGTAGCTTTTGTCTCAGACACTGTTCTGTTTGCATGTGCATCTCTATATCTGATCACAGCAGAGATCTTTTGTTTGTTTGT